TCGGACGTGGCTGGCCGGGGACAGCAATCGACCGAGTGGTTATCTCCGTGTCGGGCGCAGTTTGTGAGTCGATGCGACTGGTGTCGCGGGCTAGCGCAAGCCTTAGCCGCCGTGTGTCTGACATCGCGAATGCGCCGCACAGATTGCAGCAGACGGATGGTGATTGCAAAGCCGTCATGTCGTAAGCAGAGTCATCGTTTGATTCGGAGTTTGGGCTTGTCGTGTCTGCGTCTCGGCGCAAGGGTTTGAAGACGGAATTCAGACTGATGCCAAGAGTTGACTGCAGGAGCAGAACGCCCCTCGTCCGGATGTAGACTCTTGTCAGGTTTGCGATGGCAGGTCGCAGGCCCTTCCATTTGAAGTTTGAATCACAAGACGAACGGATTGCATAAAACCCTATTCGTAGTTGTGCAAGGCAGGTCAAGGCAGGTGTATCCACTTTGGTCGGCAACTTTTTTCTTCTTCTTCTCTCCTTCCCGACTAAATCGGGTACGTACTTCATGCCTGCACTGCTTTTAGTGCACCAACAAGCGGAATGACGTGTTGGCTAGCGAGCCAGGGCCCCTTCAGCAACGGCCACACCGGGCTTCGACGACCGAAAACAACGTGGGCGAAGCCTTCAAAGTCGATTTCTCATGGGTCGGCGGCCCGCTTGCAGAGCTCCACAGACCGGGATGTCGGCGGATCTGCACACCGTGCCGAGGTCGATTGATGGCTTACCCAAGGTCAGACCGTCAGTCGCCTCCCAACTCCAACGGATTTGGGCTGTTTGTATTTTCCGTCGCTCATCCCTTTTTCTCAGGTGCGCATGGTAACTCAATGCCACTCATTTCTTATTACAAACCAGGGCTTCAGGTCGACAGGATTTGAGACGACCGTTCGGACTTTGTCAAGTTCATCCCTAGCCGCGGACGCGCACGCCCTATTAATCGGATGCTGTGAGGACGCCAAGAAGGCAGGCCACGCGCACGCCTAGATATACCTGCCTGAATCATTCAGGACCCAGGCATGGCTGAAAGCCGGTCCACCAACATACGACGATAGAGGCAGCAAGCCGTCACTGATTACGCCCAGCGGTGGATGAACTGAGACCCGCGGCTTATCGCCTGTTGAAAGTTGGTATATCCGGCCAGCTGCCAGATCTGGATAGATGGATGGGAAGGATCGTCATGCCGCCCGATAAGAGGCTGATGCAGGTTGAATGCAATGCCCGTCACGAACGAACCAACAATACTGGAATGCCATTTTGGGGAGCCCGCTTCAGAGATTAGCGCACCCTGGGCTGAGCCTCCCGGCGCGTCGGCCGAGACCTCGCCAATAGTGCGTGAGCGCGCGACCCGTGGACAATCAACTGGCAGAAGCATTCATTCGGCGATGAATCTGTTACCTGTTCTAGCGATCTTAGCGTCGGTTTGCTACATTGCTTATTCGACTGGTCTTCTTTTTGTCATCGACGAGGCATTCGGTCTTTCGATGCGGCCATCAGCAACCCGCCCCTCTCTTTCGGAGCCGATCCATCGTCGGGACCGATTCGAGCCTCCCGTCCTCTCTTTTCCCAAGATCGAAAAGCCCAGCTGCCAAATCGCTCTGCTGGCCAGTGGTCTCCAAGCGACCGCGGCCCAGGAGAACCCCTGCACGACTGGCTAGACTTGGCTCCCGAGCCTTCGGCTCTTGCGAAAATCTCTGGAAATTGCCTTCGTCAAGCTTGAACTGCCAGACCTGCCTGGACCGCTCCGCCATGCCAACTTCCGCACCTGGTCAGCCCATAAATTCTGGAGCCATCCAGGGTCATCTGCGCTTCCTATTCGACCGGCAACGAGCAAAACCTTTCGCAAAAGATATGTGACCTGTCCTGAGTCCACTTTTTGCTTATCAACTTTTTTCTCTCTCACTGCATCTGTGCCTCGGCCGGACGACAGCCCAACGTAACCAGCGCCTTGGCAGACCGGACTTGCGCGAATGGTATTTACGGCGATTGCAGGCCTGCGCGGAACGGGGCCCGTCTGCAATCCTCCTCGGCATGGGTCACGCCTGTCCGTCGGCGTTTGACCGAATCTAATCTATAAAGCTCCGAAGCCACGTTTGTTGTGCCTCGGCTGTCGCTTTGTGGCTTGCTCCCTGGCGTTCCTAGCTTCCCTAGCCCCAGGTGAAATTTAGACTTGGCCTTCAATGTCACCTTGCCAAACCCATGTAACTGGATCCCACGGCCGATTCAAACTAGACGACGATCGATGGAAAAAAGAGCTTAACGGGAGCCATCTCGACAATTGTTCTAGAACGGACTGACCGCGCCCTGAGCTAAGTCGTCCGTGCAACTTTTATTGGCAAGAAAATCCAAGATATCGACTCCTCTGCCTCTCACTGCTTAGTTTTTCATCTCATATGCACTTTTTGGATGACGGTTTGGGCAGACGAGATGAGGAAGCAAGTGCATATTTCATTGGCGCCGTGGTCTATTATCCCCCCCTCTCCCGTCATCAACCTCATCAGTCGCGCCCTTTCCGCGCGTCCTCCAGACGTATCCCGCCCCGACTCCTGAAGTGCCTCATGAAGTCCGAGTTGGGCCCCGCGGCGCGGCGGCTTCGGTCCGCCAGGACGAGTCCCTCCGCGAACCGGGTCATCTCATTGAGGCTGGCCCCGAACAGCTTCATCAACTCCGGCCACGCGTCGAAGTGTTCCGCCGAGTCCACCTTGATTTCAACCAGGCGCAGCTGATTCCCAGTGGAAATAATCGGCAGTAGATGCTGCAGCAAAGACGTCTTCAAGTCTTGCCTCTCCTTCTCCAACAGATCTGTAACTTATGGTCAGCATCTAAGCATCTCATGAGCAAGTGCTCTTTTCAAACTCACAGCACATCCGCAGCGCGAACTCAATGTCGACCACATCTTCCGCGTCCACAAGCTGGATATAAGGCACCGTGTGATTCCACACCAGCATCCGCGTCACCTTCTCAAATGCCTTGCCCTCATTCAGCAAGCCCGCCGCCAGCCCCAACCGCCACAGGTCCCCGACGGTCAGATGCTCAATCGACGGCTCATGGTAATGCAGCATCGTCTGCGACGCGTACTTGAGCGCATCGACCAGGTCATACTTATCCGCCACAACAGCCACCTCCAAGATCGAATCCGCCGCCGCCATCTGACACACCCGCGAGTTCTGGTGGTGCAGGATGTTCAGAATCAGCTCCATGATCTCCGGGTCCTCGTCAGGCAGGTTAATCTTGACGGGCTCGGACGAGGCGCCGCCGTTGCGGTCGAGCAGCCTCTGGCCCTCTTTGAAGCGGGGGCCGAGCATCGCGCCAAACACCCGCGACGCGCGCTTCAGGATGAGCGAGTCCACGCGCAGCTCCGCCGTCTCGTCGCCCAGCCCGACGACGAGGATCACGTCGCCGTCCGGCACGACGGGCACGCCGCTATGCGCCGTGCGCGACCACATCCGCGCCGCGAAGCTGGCCGGCGAGCGCACCTCGAAGAACTTTTCCGACGCCGTCGTCGTTGTCGTTGTCGTCACCATGTTGGGCTTGTCAATTGTCATGTTTTTACTCAGCGGGCTGTCCATCCTTCGGTAGGTCTGGGAAGGGAGAGGAGGGCGGTCTCAGTGTGAGTCTGGGGGAGGCAGCACTGATGAACCGACGAGAATTCTGTTGTTGTGGGAGGCCGCTCTTATCTGATGTGAGGCTGAGATGAAGCTGCGCAATGTGTGTTGTGTGTTTTGTTGGCCTTTCACTTGCACCATAGCCATCGCCACCGTTTAGGCTTTTCCCCCTCCCTTCAAACGCGACCTTCTCCCCTCCTCGGGTGGCAGTTCAAGAGTCAGTCAGGGTTTTTCTGGGCCTTGCTTGGTCCTGTCTGGTAAGCACCATGGTTTGCTCCTCCGCATCCTCCTCACTGCCAGGGAAGACCCAGGTCTCCCGGGGTCCGATGAGACGCCGGGCGCAAGCAAGAATCTCTTGGTGGTGTTTCCCCCGACTCAGCTGCGCGGAGTGAACGTTTGGGAAGGAAGGTTGGGGATTGGGAGGATTGGGGTGAATGTCGTCAGTGCCGAGGCTTGTTTTGCGAGAGGACGCGTTCTGGGTGTTGGCCGCTAGCTGGGTTTCCCCAGCTCGTTGGTCCTGGCCCGATTGGAGTCGGGGCATGGTGAGGCTGTGGTTGAGATTTTCATCTCTTGATTCTGCATTGGTGCCGTGCGTCCGGCATACGCGCCCTGCTGGAGGCGTTGAAGCTTTCAGAGTGCATTAAGCTCGAGTCTGCACCTTGGCTGCGTGCTCCGATCGGAAGAGGATGAGATTGGCTTGATTTTTCCCCAGGTTTCGAGTCGCGGTCGACAGCTGTCAATTGCCGCCGCCCTTCTTTTCGTGATCATTCTTGGAGAGCAGCCACAGGAGGCGGTGCTCGGCGAAGAGGAGGAAGTGTGGTGGCTCGAGCTCACTCCGGGTGTTTGAACCTTGCGTTCGGTCTCCAGCTCGGCTTGGTTGGGCTAGCTTGACCCAGAGGAACGTTTCAAGTCTTTTTTGTCCGTCTTGCAGGAGCTATGGGGTTTGAGGCTGCGATGACGTTGAGTTGAGCAGCATTCTTTCGCGAGCAGAAAAGGGGTGAACACGCCGTCTTCTGAACAGAACTCAATTCGGTTAGAATCGCTCGGGCATTTCACCACCTTTCTTCTGTAACAACGTCACACGGTGATCAAGCACTCTGTCATCCCAATTCACTAGGATGCTCAGACCTTCAAGCGGGCTAGCATCTTGGAAACAGTCAGGTCACTAATGCAAGACGACTGGAACATTCAGATTTTCTTGAAAGCAATTGATAAAGAAAACTCATGTGCTGTATGTGCAGCCTTACGCTGACCAGTATGAATGGCCACGGTACATCTCTGACTATCGTTCATTCCCTCGATCCGGTTGTGCCTGTTTCTCCAAGCTTCCCATATTGATGGGATATCGTCCAAGTCTTCCGAGCCAAAGATAATCAAGGGTGTTGCGAATCAGAACCATTCTTGTCTCAGGTCTTGCGCGCGTTTTTCAGCAACACCACTCCAGATTCACGGACAGCTTTCATCCACGGCAACTCCCTGAAGTCATCAATGTAGAGCACATCATCCAAGAGGTGAAACTCCAGGTCCGTGTCGTCGACGTATTCCCATATCGCGTGTAAGCTTCCCTTTGTCAGAGTCTCAGCCATATCCCACTTGTCACCAGGCCTATAGGCCCAATCGATCTTGGTAAGATGTCCATCAAAACGCTGGCCTGGCCCGGAGCACGCGATGAGGACTCCCCGATAGATTTCGGAACGAATCTTGGAGCGTTCCATTTCAAGAAGACCTGTTACAAAAGCTTGTCAGCCTCATATTCGATTTATTGAAGCTGCGCAGGTTTGTGACCTACCACACAAGCGATACGCCAGTAAATCATCGATGGCCGCCTTCTCCACCAAATGGACGAAGGCGTCGCCGTAATGCCAGACCAAGGCGTGAGTAAGTGTTGCAAAGTCGGCAGGGTCATCGAAGCAGGCTGCAGAAATGGTCAGATACCAGACATCAAGCATGCTCATATCTTTCAACCCTCTGCCGTCATTGATGGTCCGATGGATAGCGCCGGCGATGGTGTGCTTCAAGACCATGACCAAATTGTACTTGTTGGCGGCGATGCCGATCTGGAACAAGACAAGAGCAGGGAAGGATTCCGGTATTTTGTCGACACGATGATGAAGAAGATAGAAAATGGTGCTCATGCCATCAGCGTTGTCTTCCGGGAGCTTGATCTCGGTGATTTCGCCGCGGAGGCTGTTGTTGCGGAGTTGACGGCCCTCTGCGAAATTAGGACCTAGCATGGCTTTGAAAACCTTCGAAGCGAACTTGAGCATGATAGAGTGGACTCGGAACTTTTGCTGCTCAGGACCAACGATCATAATGATGTCGCCATCGGCAGCGACGTCGATGGTCTTGCTGGCATCATCGCTGGCGGTACTCGCATTATTTTGGGCCATGCTGGCATCGTCGTCGACCTCCAGTTTGGTTTGGCGTGTGAGGGGTCTCGTATGAATCGCGACGCCAAAAGTTTAGTAGAAGTGGTGACGGGGTTGAAAATTTTGACGAGCGGCTGCAATTAAGCGGAAAAAATGGGTGAGGGTGAAGTTGAAAGCTGTAGCCAAGGCAAGAACCGCCTAGATAGCTCTTTCCTTGTGAGGCGTTTGACCTCGCTACTATACTCTTTGAACAATGGAGTCAGGGCGGCCCGATATTGAAGGAAGGGGACAGAAAGAAACCTTGATCCTCTGACTTTGATGAAGACTTTTTAATCAACAGATTTTCGGTTGCCTTCCAGTTTGCTGTGGTGGATAGATTCTTGTAAATGAATGTATTGGTGGTAGATTAGGTCAATTGCTTCGCAGTGTCATCGTCTAAAAGGCCTCCTCGAAATGAATTTGTTCGTGCTTGGACAGGTCCATCTATTCTTTGGCTAAGCAAGCTCCCAAACTGTGTCCTTTCACTTGTGTTTCCTCAGCCCATGTTGAATACCTAGTGTGCCGCAGTAGGCACGCATATTGGAGAAATGCAGTCCGGCCTTTCCCACGATTTCATCCATCCATTTGGTGCTTCTGTCGTCGTTTCGTTCGGCTTTCTTGCGGAATTGGTTGAAGTAGTCAGAATTTTCGATGGCATCAAGAGTTCCCTGCAGGTCTGAATCGGCAAAGTCCTCAGGAGCATCCAAATAGATATCGAATCTCAGGATGGTTGATTCAGATGTCCGTTGCGTCTGGTCGTTGTCTTCGTCGTTGTACCGCCCAGAGACAACCATAATTTTGCGCATCACCAGCCGTCTGAGTTCTGCTCGTCGGTGTTCAAGAAGGCCTGAAAACTCCTTAACATTAGCAAACAGACAAGTTCCGAAGGGGTTTCATCGAGACTGACCGCATAGACGAAGTGCAAAAATCTGATTCGTATACCATTTGTCGGCCAATCTGATGTATCCATCCGAAGAGAACAAAATCAACGCCTCAGTGGCCTTATAGAAGCCGGGATCATAATCGAACATTGAAGCAGCAATAGCTAGCTTCCACATGGATTCCTCTTCGCCTCTTTCACCGTAGCTGAACAAGATACCATCCATGGCTTCGGTGATCGGGTACTTGACGGCACGGATCAGATCATACTTGTCGGCAGCGAGCGCAACGTCGAAATATGTGATACCGTCGGCGCTAGAAAGAACATCATGTCGATAATAAATGAGCTCGAAAAGGACACCCATGCTGTATGCGTCGTCCTCGGGGAGGTTGATCTTGACCGGGTCATTGTGACTTCCTTTGTTGACGATCTGCTGGCCTTCGGCAAACTTTGGGCCGAGCATAGCGTTGAAGACCTTAGAAGCGGCCTTCAGGATCTGCGAATGAAGTCGAAATTCCTTTTTCTTGGGGCCGATCACCATAATAACGTCGCCATCGGGAGCGATGTTGTTGATGGCGTTGGTATCGACGCCTGCCATATCGGCATCGTTGTCAACTTCCATCTTGGTCGACGTCAGTGATGCTCTGTCTGGCTTGCGATGGCGGAGGTTGTTGCGCTGAGAAGGTGGACGAAAAATGCTTCCTGAGCGGCTGCAATTAAGCGAGGAGCGTGAGGTGAGGGTGGAGTTGAAAGTCGTAGCAAGCAAGGCAAGGCAAGAACCAACTAGCTAGCTCTTTCCCTCCAGAACGGTTTACCTCGCAACCCTCTGAACAACGGAATCAGAGAGGTCCAAGGCACCAGGACTGGGAAAGGGAAAGAAACGAAACAAAAGGAATTCGAAATCCGACTGTCTCGCTTTGATAGAGATTTGCCTATCAATAACGCTTGTTGACCTCTTCAGGATTCGCTTTGATAACTAGACCTCCATCGCTGAAGTTGGTGACGGCACGTCTGCTTCTTACGGCGTCGCAGATTTTGTTTGCAAGACAGATTAAGCACATACGGCTGATAGATTTCTTTCCAAACGGGTCCTGTGTTTCTCTAATCAAGAATTGACGAAGCAAATACTTGCTTTGATTCATAGAAACTTCGCGTTTGCGGATCTAAGTTGTCTCAAGCCTACCCTCACACCGGATCTGGATTCCGTCCCTCACTGCCTCTTTCTCCTAGATTCCCGTTCCTTACGGCTTGTCTCTCGGCAGATGCGATATAAGAGCCAGAGATACCATCTCAGTCAAAGCAAACCAGCTCCAAGCCTGCTTCCTCCTCCAAAATATCCGTCCAATACTCGTCACTGTTAGAGTGTAGGCTTGGGCCATTCTGATACTCCTTGCAGCCTTCAATGAGTTCCAGACTGCGCCTCACACTCCGTCCGATAAATTGACGTGGGTCGCTGACATCAATTGTGAATTTGACCTGCAATTGTCGCTGGAGGGTATTCGATCTGCATGCGTAGAGCAGCTCTGTCATCGCACGATGTCTGTAATTCTCTCGTTCATTCTCAAGACTGACTGCAGACATAAGTTGTTAGTACTGCCTCTAAAAACAGGGTTACCGAAGAATTACTTACTGCATACGCGTAGGGCAAAAACCTGGTTGAAGTACCACTTTTGGGCAAATTGGAGATATCTGCAAGTGTGATGTAGGATCAAGGCGCGTGTAGCAGCTTTAAAAGTAGCAGCATGCGTGACGAAAGCGGCAGCCATGGCCAGTTTCCAGAGGTTCTCAGCCGGCATTGTCTCCAGTTTCTTTTCTTCAGCAACGGAAGTAGTCAAAGCATGACGGAAGGCGTGCTTGATAGGAGCAATCAGATCGTACTTGTCGGCGGCGACCAAGATGTCGAAGAACGGAATATCCTCAGGGCTTTCGAGGGCGTCAAATTGATGATGAAGGGTTTTGAATATGAAACCCATGCTCTTGACGTCATCTTCTGGAAGATTGATCTTGCCAGGCAGCCCAGGCTTGCGACTGCCGGTGGTCACGTTGGCGATGAGTTGCTGACCCTCAGCGAAGTTGGGACCCAGCATAGCTCTGAACACCTTTGATGTCATCTTCAAAATGAGGGAATGAAGGCGGAAATTCTTCTTCTTGGGACCAACAGCCATGATGAGGTCTCCATCGGCAGCGATCTCGACTATGGTGTTGTCATCTTCACTGAGGTTATATTTGTTATTATTGCTGACACCTGCGTCGCCGCTGTCAATGCTGGCGTTGACATCGATGTCCATCATGGATGGCGTTGGTGGCGGGTTATCCAGGTCAAGATGTAGAAGTCTGGTGGTGATGAAGGTGAAAATGGACGAAAAACTTCCGGGGCGAAGCGGAGAAAATAAGGGCGAAGGACCCAAGGAAAGAAATAAGAAGGAACTATCTCGGCCGCTCTTGCCTCTAGTACCTTCTTCAAGTTTCCTACATTCCATATGTCTCTTGTACCCAAACATGCTCTCAAGGTGATTATGTTCATCGCCTCTCTTGTCTACTTTGACTTTTGTAGTTCTTGCATTCGATCGTGATCTTTAGGTTGCTTCCAACCTGCGTTGCTCGACTAATCCTCATGTTTTGATCTTGTCTCCGGCCTCCATCCTGTAATGAATATCATCGCTCATAAAAACAATACCGGGGTCGATCGTTCGTGCTAGGCAAGCAAGATGAAAAGAGTGTCAGTATTCTGGGAATTCAGTAGAAGTTGATACACTTACAACCTTGGACCTAACCACACACCACACATCGCATAAGGTAGATCTGGTCGCTGTTGAGAATGGGTTTGGCTATAGGGTAGTCGCGTTTCCGCTATAGATGGGCACAAAAGTGGCACCTCAACCATACCTTGGCCCTCAGGCATGGTAGGCCGCTCCTTACCTAACGGATTCTCTGGAGGGGGAAAGGGGCGCCAACGAGTCTGCAAGGCTGCATCACATATTTGCGCGCCCTAATCAGGACAAAAGGCCGTCAAAGTACCTCTCAAGCCGTAAACGACCATTCAGATTTTCCATCAAAATGGCCAAAAAGCCCGAGCCGGGGGGTTGGGACGGTTAAAAGCCGACAGTTCGTCAGCCTGTCTGGTAATGTAAACAGATCATGAGGGATGGAGCTTGAAAGGGTCGTGGCTTACGCTCCCGGGACGAGCGGACGTTAGCCATGATCGAGGCTAAATTATTTTCGTCTTCATTGGTTTGCGAGAAAATTCACTGTACGGGTTGTGGGATAAGCCTTCCAGGCTTCCGACACGGATCGCCCTTTAGGCTGGCTTGTGTGATGCCGATATCCCCTTCCGAAGGGATGCCCCAGCTGTCATGCGGAAAAACATCTGGGTCTCTCGAGTCAGTCAGATCATATGCTCTCTTGTCGACGATTAATCAACAATACTAGAGGGGAGGAGAAGAAAACAAGCCTGATTACCAGGCAAATATGACGGACGGGGTATTGTTTTGCCCCTACCAAACCCCAAACAAGCAGGGCTGGATATGTTAAAGCCAAGCGGCTGAGAAAAATTTGCAAATGAGTAAAAGTCGCACCTTGTGATCATAACTGCGTCGAATTGGGTTAAACGTAAGTATGCAGGGTTCAACGAACCGGACCAGTCACATGCGTGGAGTTGTCTGTCGACTGGAAGAGCCAGTCATGCCCTCCCGCGAAGATTCCAGGCATGGCATCATATTCGATGTGAAGGAATAGAATTTCTCTTTCATCGATCAAGTCCGATCAAGGCCACATGTTTGTTTCAGGAGCCACATCTGCTATTCGGGCCAGATGTGTCAAGCAGGCTGTTCAGAATATTCAGGGGCTGGCTTTATCGGAATGAAGCCGAAAGACCTTTCTGTATCTTGTCCTACCACTTGAAACACCTTCTTCTCCTGAGTCAGAATGCAGCTACGATTCGTGTTATTGGGGTTTATGACACTCTTCATTCGGTTAGCCAGGCTGCCTTCCCTTGTGAGTTTATCGAGTCTCGACTCCCCAGGGGCCTTTGTCGCTACAGTATTCGGATAGTAAGATACGCGATCGAGAGGAAGGGCGATAAGGCCAGCTTTAGGCGATCCCATCAAACAATTGGTACCATTCAATATGTTTCGTGATTGTTGTTCTTTTGATACCTCCAAGGACTTCAGGAGGAAGTGGGTTTAGGCCACGACCCCTTTTAGGTATTCTTCTTAACGTCGAGAGGGGCAACATACCCTAAAGCCACCACTTCTTTACTGACGACAGGAATGAGTTTTCTATAGCTCTCCAACTAAATCCTTCACATATTTTCAGACAGCGTCCCGTAGGGAAATGAGAGTCGAAAAAGTAAACGACAAGGACACGGATACACGAAAGTAAATACAGAAAACAATCATCGGCGGCCTCTAGAGAGTAAATTGATTGTGATAGCGAGGGTTCCGGTTACAAATACCTTCCTGGGATGACTACTGCGGCCAAAACTTAGTTGAGATTGAGATGCAAAATGTGAACTAATACAGCACGAGATACGGGGACCGAATTCTCCGTCAATCGCGACATCATTACTCTATTTCGACGTTGGAGGGAGATTGGGTGCAAAATGCTGCTGCCTTGAGCAGGGGACAAATGTTGCTGCCTGTGGTGGGTTCAGCTCATGCGTTGCAACAATGTGGGTGCACAGAACCAAAATATTAATAACCACTCCATGACTTACAAGGGACTAGCGTTTGGACGACTTGCTCAAATTCTGTCCAAAAGGAAAGTTCTTTTACGCAGCGAACAATCTTGACCCTGAAGCTGATCCGTATCGACAATTCGACATTCTTCCTTAGGCACATTGAGGCTCTTGGCCAACGAACTCAAAGTATATATAATGAGCGTCTGCTATGAACTAAGTCTTCAGGGATGTCTTGACTACTTGGAATTTCCTGGTCTCTAAAGTTTGGAAGGGAGTGATTCAGACGAAAATGGATTTGGGGCTCTTCCGAGCCCCGACACCTACACAACTGTACACAGAAACAACAAGTATTTTGGAGCTACCATTGAACGTGAAAAATGATACTCGCAAGGATGAAAAAGGACAAGAACCAATAGATGTCATTCATGAAGAAATAACTCAGAGCTAGCTGCATGCATTGTTACTAGTGCTGCTTCGTACGCGGCCAACGATGTTCGACATCAAATCCCGAAACAGAGCGAAAGACTTGGCACGGGACTTTTTACGACAACCAAATCCTCCGGCACCTACCGAGATGTGGTAGGGCTAGTGCAGAACCCAGCTGCTTTCGACCTCGTATCAAGATGATCATGTTGGTACAAACCTCCACCGGGTGTCGATTTTAGATTCTGACCCGTGGGTAAAGGGGTCTCGCACTCAGAATTGACAGCACCGGGATCCCTTTCGCTGATGCCTGGGTTCGGATGGCATTGACCATCAGATGGTCACGACCAAGTTGGTGGGTGAAGCGAACCTGGCTGCGGCAGCTGCGCCCCAGTGCTGCTGCATGGTTGGAAGTCCACATTCCGTCCAGAGATCGTCAGTTGGCGATTTCTGATTACATACGGAGACGGAAGGTTGTTGTGAACATAGGGCGGGTGATTCGAGGGTGGTCAATTTTGTTTAGTGGTTCAAGAGTCAGTTCCGTGGTCCTACCTTCTGTATATTAAGTCAGATCAAGCTTGCCCTCCCATAGCAAGTGGTTCGACATTTCACTTTCACGATCACAACTCTACAAGAAATGGTTGCAATTGCCTCTCAAAATTTCTGGTAGACTGTATTCTTTATGTTTCCGTTCCTTATCTTTCCTGCAAGTGCTAACTTGCATGTTTTCTTTCCGTTGTTTGAAATTTTGTCAAGATACCCCTTTCACTTTACGCTGCATCCCGTCTACATTTAGCCCTCAACAATTACCTCGTCCTTCTTTGATCACCAAATCTTCTTAAACTCCAATTCTTATCCTTCAGTCTTCATAATGGTCGCTGTTCCACGTGGAAGCTGCTTAAAGCTTTTGGCCGCTACAATCGTTTCGCTCACAGCACTCCTCGTCCTGCATCAACTCAGCTACACAAACACGAACGACTTCAGTCTCCCAAGCCATCCGATCGAAGTTCTAGACCAATGCCCTCCTTCGACACTTTCGAATATCGACAACGGCCAACTCGACGAAACGATTCCAAATACGATTCACCAAATATGGAAGACCACAGACGTCAGCACGTATCCAGCAAGAGCTTCCCGTGAGTCTTGGAAGTCCATGTTCGAACCAAGGGGCTATCAAGTCAAAATCTGGACCGACGACGACATCCTTTCCCTCATCAAGTCGAAATACTCCTGGCTGTTACCGACATACGAAACCTACGATCACAATATCCAGCGAGCAGATCTGGCACGTCTGGTCGTGTTACATGCGGGGGGAGGAATCTATGCTGATCTGGACGTCCACCCTCGATCCGTCGAAGCAACAATGTGTCTCCAACATCTTGGTCTACAAGCTGTATTCGCGCCCACTGGAGGCGCTGCGGGGTTGAGCAATCACTTCTTCATGGCGGAGAAGGGTTCTGACTTCTTAATGTGGTCTCTGCAAGAGGCCAAGCGACGCGGCGGCTCGACTCCGAAGAGAATACTTCTTCCGTACTTGAGGGTTTTCTGGTCTACGGGGCCGTTGATGTTGACTGCGGCATATCGTCAGTACATGTGGATGTATGGGACAAACCAACCTCGCGTGGCGTTGCTCAGCGAGCGCCATGTCAGGAAGGTGGTCGGACATGCTGCGGGCCGATCATGGCACGGGTCAGATGGGCAAGTCTTGAACTACATTTCTGATCATCTGCACCTGGACAGCAAGTGGCTAGCTGTTCCGTGTGTAGGAGCAGTTCTGGTGTTCTTTTGGATTATGAGGCGAAACCGCGGAAATTTTTCTCAATCAATGTGCTGCCATAAAAAGTGGCACAGCGAGGTCTGACTGCTGAGTGAAGTTTGGATACAGAATAGACTGCTGGTACAATTTAAAACCCCTGAAATATTGCCTTCTAGTGCCGCCCAAGAGCATGTTTTCGCGTCTACAAAACGACCTTTCTGTGTGAATTGATTGCAGAAGACATTCTTGATATGTGAGCTGAATGGAAAAGAACGTTTGACTAGATCTTTTGTGATAGGTCGATCATTCTTTCTACAGGTTCCATTCCGGCAGCATAAGTTCGAGCATGGTAGCGTATCTAGGCGCAGAGTCGATGACTCCGATTTATCCCCTGGACGAGATAAATGAACAGCTCGAAATGTGCAAGGAGTTGAGAAGCGCTTCCGCCCGTCCACCCTGTCAGGCCGTTCGCCACATATCCATCCCGAATGTTGAGGAGCTCTTGTACGGCTGGCCATTACCCAACCCATATACCGCGTCAGTAGATTCACCCTCCGCAATTTGGTGTTGTTCTTGCGCTGACCCTAGAGTTGCTGACGAGCTTGCCCTCAGCATCGATCAAGCAAATCTGCTCCTCGAATGAAGCCCACAGCAACGCCCTCAGGGGACTGAACCTTGCGAAGACTTGCGGGATGTTGCGGAGTGCCATCCGATTCCCCCAATCTGTGTCGTTTCGGCGGAGGGAGCGGCGGAACCCAAGTCCGGGAACGATTCCGAACAGTTGTCGCGCTTGTAGATGTAGGCATTCGCAGTTCCGTGGTAGATGCACAAGTTCCTCGCCATTGCCAGCATCCAGGTATTCGGGGGTGAGGCGTCAGGAACCCTGATCCCAGCGGTCAGATCGTACCATTCACTGAACTCGCTAGTGATGCCAGCGCTTTCAAGTGCTTTAAGAATGGTCATTCCCCTGAAGTGGACTTGACGAATGGTCCTCCCCTTGGACAAGTTACCACGCAGCCTGACCCGAGGCTATATCTGTGTTAGCTTCGAGAAACTACAATATGCCAGGCATGTACTCACTGACCCCCTGATATTTCCCCGTCAGAGTCATACGGCAGTCGAAAAGTTGCGCCCACAGGCAGCAAACTGTGAAAGAAAAAGTTAGAAGGGAAGAAGGACGACCCCCTGACGAACATCCACAGTTCCTTCAAGAAAACTGCAGCTCAACCACAGCCATCATCCACTCCGCAACAGTCTTATGCTTAAAAACCCACCACCAGCTGGGCCCCTCAGAATCCACCCATGCCTCCCGCATCGTCGCCGCCATCTTCCTCGCAACCTCGTCCACAAAGACAAGCTCCATGATCGACTCCAGATGGCGCACCGACCGCGCCGGCAGATTCACCTGCCCCCTCTCGACAAAGTTAAAGTTGTGCACCTGCAGGCGCGTGAGGACGTGGCCCGCCACGCGGTCGGGAAACGTCCGCTGGCTCTCGTCCCACGCGTCCTCCCCGCCGGCAGCGAGGTGCGCCGCGAGCCACGGCGTCTCCTGCAGACTCTGCACGACCTCGGGGCGGAAGTTGGCCTGCAGGACCTGCAGGTGGGCTTGGCGGCGGGCGAGGGCGAGGTTGCGCGCCGCGTCGTCGGAGGCGCTGGGGCGGGTGAAGTGCCGGCGGGCGTATTGGCAGACGGGGCGGAGGTGAGCTTTGAGGAAGTCCCAGGGCTGCGAGACTGCGCGGCGGATCCGAGAGTTTGGTGCTTGGATCGGTTGGGGCTGCGAAGCTGGTTCCATTCTTGCGGGTTTGTTCTTGGTGGTTTGGTTGATCGTGGTGGAGGATTCGCTGGGTTGCGGGTTGGTGGAATAGCCCTCCGATGTTGTACGCAGGAGAGTGGAAAGAAAACAGGAAAGCTGTGCCATCGGAAATTTTGTACTCATCTTGTTTGAAAAGGTAGTGTCTAGGTTTTTGGAGATGAGAGAAGACGGCAAGGTGGACGAGACTTGATGACTTGACCTTGACAGGCCACCGAGCCATCTACAGCCTCGACTCTAACCAGAAGACCTGGCCTTGATCTCAGTCCAGAAACTAATCAAATCAGAAGAATGTAGAGAACGGGCCGGAGAAAGCGGCCAGATCAACATCGTGCCAGCATATATCTCTTCGTCGGAGTGATTGGCAGGATTAGACATCATTGTCACTGTTTTGTCTTCGTGACTGAAGGAGTCGACAGTATTTGAACACCAGGACAGCAGGGTTGGATATAGATAGACAAGACAAGAAATCCTGACACCAGAGAAGCCAAGTTCAATCTCTCGAAGCTGCGAACATGATGCACGTAGTTCAGCTCAGACGCCCTGAAAATCCGTCGTTGGATACCACCAAAGACTTCTCTATAAGGCCATGCTCGCAGCTCATCAAATAGAACGAACATGGCAAGCATCACAGAGAATGAGGTGTCTCATAAAAGCCGTTGGGATCTCTGGGAGGCTTTGAGGTGGAAGGAAGCACTGGACGGCATCGTTGTCTTGGTGATTGAGAAAGGGCACAGCCTCGAATGACAAGATAATGAGTTTCCTGCCAAAGATGAATGCACGTGAACGCCGGGGTTGACTACGGAAACCCGTGAGTATTCTACGTGTAAACCGGCTTAGATATCCTGCAAGGCCGCAAGCCGGATACCTCCCTTGAGAAAGACCATCCACCAAAGGCTTTCAATACGTGCTAAACTGAAAAGAAAAAGGGCCAAACCCGAGAGACAGCAAAGTTTCTCGTCGACAACCTCGCTCGGAGATGCAATAATCTTCAACAGCAGCTGAACAACCCAAGGACTCCGCCACACGCCACAAATGGAAGCGATTGACGGCCACGCGCGCCCATACGAGTTGAGGGTGGTACTGGGCGAAGCTCAGGGCAGCTCGATTTCTTCCTCCCCGCTCTTCCTGTCCAATTGCCATCCAATCAGACCCAGGCCGGGGCAAAAGACATGCCGTCGGGAGAACAAGTTGACCAGCGCCTGTTGTCTGTCATCACTTGATGGATAAGGTGTAGGGAGGGGCCTCGCAAACAGGCGAGGCTCATCGAGAACTGAGACATCTCGCACCTTTGTGGTCAAAATGAGGTGTGCGTCCTCTTCCCAAGTGCGGACTACGTTGTTCGCAGATGAGAACGGTCCAAGAACCGCGGTAATGACCACGCCGGCATCCAACCAAGGTCTCTCCTCCGGCGAGCAACGTTGCAGAAATTTCAGTACCGAGGGTAGGGCTGGAGAGAATTGGTAGGCTGCAAATTGTCGCAATGTTTCGTGTGCTCCATCATGAGGCGTTCCGGAGAAGCGATTTGACAGTGATTTCTTGGTCGGAGAGCCCCTCGCAGGCGTGTGTTCAGAGCAATCATTGCGCTTAGATCAAGTTCCCTTAACATTTCCGACGTTCAGAAATAGCCTCTCGATCGAACCAAATCAACTTCGTTTCCCTAGATTCGGCGAATGAGAGAGCTGACCCAGACGAGCGGCGAAAGTCTCCGGCGATAGGCTGAGGTGACAGTCTTGGTCTTCAGGGTGAACCCGATAGAGTCTTCTGGTAGATCGGAGGAAGGTCTAAACAAGGCAGGCCACCGAGTTACCTGTGAATTTTGGAGCAAATTATACTCGAATATTGCGACCAAACAAGGCACGCCGAACACCTGTTAGGCGCGACAAGACTCCAGACCATCACCTAAGAGGACGATTTCGCCCTGCGAAAAATTGGTCTGTTGACTGGCTTCAATTAACCAAGTCCGACGTTGAAGGCAGCCTGGCCATAACATTGAGTGCAACGGTCTTAGATTGCTCCACGCCCGCCCACCGATGCAGCACCCCTCGAGGCAATCTTCCAGAACGATTCCAAGGCAAATGAGGTATGAAGAACCCGCGCTATGCATGCCGTTGAAGCCAGCTACACTTAGCCGTTGTTTCGAATTATCGGCGCTTTCTCCGTGACAGTAAAAGCAAAGACGTGTCGGTGGTGAATGCGGGGATGTATGCAATAATTGTTACAGATGTCTCAGTGGCCGACTGGTTTGGGACTTTTGTACATGGCTCATATGCTTAAATCGCGAAGGTATGAGTTGCTGACAGAGTAAAGGGGGCGTGGTTGGGTTACGTCGCGGAACCGACCCAGATTTCGAGGCCGGTGATTAGTCGACTCGCCGGCTTTGCAGATGGTGCATGTATCGGGATACGACTACCTTGATAGGAGTCATGGTCCCAAGGATTCAACGAGAACATGATCAAACTCGGATGATGACCAATCGGCGGCCTTTGGTTGACTGCTGATGCGGTTGCCTAACAAACAGATTGAAGTCTCGCGTGCGTCGGCGACTTGGTTCGGATGTTGCCCGCAGAACCTATGAATAATCCTTTCGAAGATCCGCATCATATACGGCAGTCCGGCCGAGATTCGGAAAAAAACGTGACTGTGGGCCAACAAATGTCGGGCGTGATGATTCGTCCGGCGAAAATAACATGTGTGAGATTGCTAGATTAGACTGGAACAAGTGTTACCTGGTTCCAAGCGCGGGTGGCCAAGGAAGGTGCGCCAGTCTTCCAGGTTACTGGTTCCCACCAAGTCGGCGTTTTCCCCAGAGGGTGTAGTTGCGTATTATGCGTGATGTGGCTTCAGCAACAGGCCCCCTTTAGGCCGCAGATGCACTGTGAAAGGAGCAAAGTGGTATCACAGCCCGTCATCTTGGACGCTAGGAGAAAAGCTGCAGGTCGAGGCTTCCGCGGCCGAGCGCCTCCACATGGTGTTCGCGGACTCGTCCTATCGAGGTCAGGGACGATAGTTTGGTTCATTGGATCAAACCGATGCGGGGTCGTGTCGTGTCGTGAGCAGACTCATCGTTCTCAGCTGCCGGGTTCTTTGGCTCGTCTGCGTGTCCATCTGCGCCTTCCATGTTAGCGGCGCTGGACCACGATTTGGAGCGGAGAAGGCTCATCTGCAATGTCGGATGTCGTAATGCCGTAATGCCGTTGGCTTCGTTGTGAAAAATGCAGATTGCGGTACCTGAATGGTGATGCCTTGAAATCTGCATCGTCACATTGGCGTGTCACCCACCACCGGTACTGTAGACTCTTCATCATCGGGGGCAGGCACACATGCCGCAAAACGCCCAGAATAGCTGGCTTCAGAAACCTGGGTGCTGTATCCTGGCGTGTCTGGTTATGGTGTTGCTTGCGGTGGGGGTGGCCATGCATGCATGAGATCTTGTGATTGGTGGTGCAGGCGGCATTAGGAGCGGTCTTGTTGCCGTTGGGAGAAATATATGCGCGAGCAAGGCCTCTTGGGAGGTTGGACCGGACCCGAGAGTCTGTCACCAGACAGTGCGAAGAAAAGCAGCGGAGATGAGCCTGGCTAGCATGAAGCGGTAGCGAGGATGAGACGTGGCGGTGATGAGTGATGCAGTCCGGCATTCGTAGTTCAGCTGGGCAACTCGGTCTGGACCTTTTGGAGGCAATCACTGCAGATATCAGCCGGGGGAGAGGTCAGACTGGTTCCCCGTCCCAGCAAGAAGAGTCGCACAAAGCAAGGGCCCAGCGTCAGGTTGCCAGATCCTGCGGAGTTTGTAGATGCAAACCGGCGGCTTTAAGGCTTATGAGATGATTATCAAGTGGCTGCCGTGTTGGATACCGAGCGGGACGCGATATTCTTGGCCGGGGGTGGCAACGCAAACGCAGGCGTTACCGCCGTGCTGGGTCGCTCTTTTCAAGCTGGCGCCCTTCCTTGATACTCTTGTACGACCGGCGGCATAGACTATGCGAGCGGGAATTCTGTGGGAAAAAGGACGAAGAGAGACGTTCGTTGTGCGTGTTTTCTCGTGACTTTGGGGAGCTGGGTTTGGTGTCTCATTAGTGCGGGTGCCTCTGCTGGGGTGTAAAGTAGACCTTCATGCCCGGCAATGCGGGGGAACACGGAGGGAGAATGGGCGAGTGAGGAGAGAGACAGGTTTCCGCAGAGGGAAGCCACCGAGTCGAATCGCGTGGGCGAGCAGAGAGATGCCGGATGTCGTGCGTTGGAGGCTTGGTGAAAAGCAAGCTGAGGGGTTTCGAGACACGAGTCGAGTGTGGTGAGCATCGAGGTAGCCGGACAGGGTCTCGGCCGTAGCCTCGTGGGTTGGTGTCAGTCAGGCTTAGCGCCGTCAATCAAAAGGACTTGTGCCTGAAAGGAACAATGACCGGTGGCTTCAGCCGGGCGGATTCATCCATCGACGGTTGGCTTGAAACTGGTCTGGAGCGGTTCCGTCCATCGCGTGGCTTTCTGGTGAACCAACAACGGAGGACGACAAGTGGGTGGTGGATGCTGGTGGTTAGCATTTCCAGACTAAGGAAAGGCGGCGACGACGGCGACAGTCGCGGGCCACTGTCAGTGCCAACCACAGCAGTGCTCGTTCAACAATGGGCTTTGATTGACATGAGGAGGTGGTGAGTCGCTCAGGCGTCACGTCAGAGCTAGAGTAGATTGGCGGGATGACGGACCCATCGTTCAATCCGACCTTGGCAGGAAGGACCCCCAAGGACCCCTGCCTGCCCTGGCGAGCTTCCTGGGCAATGGCAATCGCCCGAGGAGGGCAAAAAGCGAAAAAAACGACTGCCTGTGAACCAACAAGTTGCGCTAGCACAGTAGCCTGCGTTACTAGCGTGCTCTTAGCGTCTGATTTAGCGTCTTCTGTTGGCTCCAAGTGGGTCAACGGCTGGGACACGGACGCTGGGGGTCACGGAAGGAGGGATCAGTCCCTGTACCCAGCCAGCCAAAGTACA